GCATCCAGTGCCAACTTCTTTTGGCGTCTACTCGGGAAGTATTTACCCAAAAATTTTTTTTTTTTTTATCATAATACTTAGAAAAAGATGCTCTTTTTTTTTATATATAAAAAAAAAAGTTTTTTTTTTTTAAAATATTTGGGGCACGCCGAGTGAACATATATTAAAATTTTGGGGCCGTTTAAAAAAAAAAAAAAACCCCCTTTAGGGTCCAGAGGCCAAATTTCAAAGAGTGCACCATGTCCAAAAATTTAAAAAAAAAAAAAATTTTTTTATTAAATGTGAGAATCCTTTTTGAAGGTAAAAAAACAAAAAGTACGAAATTGATGGAAAAAGACAAAAATATCCTCCGTGAATTTTGATGTGTCACGATATTTACGAATCGCGATTCTGCGACTTTGACTCCCCCTTTTTTGGCCAATTAATTATTCCAGTCGACCAAATTCTTAGCTATTTCACTAGTATTACTTCTATTCTTTCGACTGAGCACAAGAAATCACCAAGTCAACTGTTTCAACTACAAAATAAAGTGATCGGAAATTGGTAATTTGGCCAATTTAACACAAAGTTCAAAATATTCCAATTTCAAAATAGGGTCCAGAATAAACAATGTAGATATTCCTGGCACTAAACTAACATTTCCTATGTTCATTAGTTATGTTTTGAGGCTTTACAAATGAATTCCCTTTTGATTTTTTTTCACATAATGAATTTTTATTCACACCAAAAAATAGAAGATTTACTGTTATGAAATATTGTAATAATTGTATAAATATCATCACCACATTTGTGAATGTATATTAGACCCACCAGCTGGCATGTATTAGACGTGTGAGGTCGTTTGTTTACTCTTGAACATCGGCAAAAATTTAACATTTCCACTACTTTGAGCTCAGTTTCAAGCCATTTCCAGTGCTAAAACAAATCAAAATCATCTCTATTTCTGTAATATGTCCTTCATTCTATTAAATGAGATCAAGAAATTGCAAATACAGCTATAAAAAACACACGAAAAAACACTGCAAAGTCACTGTTTTAATCGAAAATCACGGTCTCAGTTCTTTTTCTCTCATTATACACAGTGTGCTACAGGATTTGTTTTATGTGGTGCGCACATACCACATAGATGTATTCTCTTATATCTAGGCCCAAATTTACCACTCACAGTTTATCAGAGTGAGCTGAGCTCATGGCGTAGATCTACGGTTTAGAACCTGAACGTAAAGCCGTAGATCTACAGGACGGACCCTGAAAGGGTTAAGGGTTAAACTATCCAAACATAGATCTATGTTTGCACGCGTAGCACTCTGAACATTGTTAAACTCACAAACTAGTATTTAGTCACTTAGTATTTAGTCAACTTACTCCACAATTTGTAATAATTTAGGGTCAAGAATTAATCAAAGTTTGCCCGAAATGCCTAGCCTTTCTAGGTGTTCTAGTGGCCCCCCTCTGTAATTAGTATTTTATTACATGAAAACCACACAATAACCAAAATCTGTAAACCCCGCATCGTAATCCTTATAGAGAATAAACTTTGATTTGATTTGATTCCTTCAAATTTGGCACGATAGGCCTGAGTCTCCTAGACATGAGAGAATGAGTCTGCGCCCTAAGTGTGCGCAGAGTGAAAAAATTCACTGATGCTGGGGTATCGCATGGTAGCACCAGTTAGTTTCAGCTCCATCTTGGGTTAACATCATAGCAAATCCCCGTGAATCACTCACGCCTCAGCGTATTAACACTCTGCTATTCTCGGAAAGTGTAACAGAATGCGAGGTTAGTGAATTTGACACCGATATAGCCACTAATGTTCAAGGAATTAGTGAAACTGTTGATGATACCTCAGATGACCCTCAGCCCATCACCTCTGGGGTGGCCAGTGTGGCCATACCAGACCCTTAGCCCAGTACTTCTTGGGTTGCTAGTGTTACTACCCAAAGGCAACTCCGCAAGAGGAAATTATCATTTTCCAAGCGTTATGGTGATGACGATAGTGAAAGTGATATAAGTGACAATGATGAAATCGATTTTATGCCCATAGAGGATTCATCAAGTGACAGTGATTATCATTATTCCCCAGTGAAATGTACTTTTAGGCGTCATAACCTATGTTCAGGCAGTGTGCCATATGTAGTCGGTGGCAAGGGTTATGGCAGGTCATGATACAAAACCCCAGCTAGTGAGAGTGATAGTGATCATGAAGGTGAGTATGCTGGGATGGAGGAAGAGGAAGTTGGTGGTATGGTGCCTGGACCTTGTGGCACAGTGGGTGGGCAGACAAAGGACCACCCAGCACCCTCTCAACCATGTGCTGCCTCCACTCCCGTCCCCCCTCCTGCTCCCCCATGCCCCATGCAACAGGTCCACCCTGCACCTTTCTGATCGCGAATGGAAATGGACAGAAAGTGCACCATTCACGCCACATCCTTTCAATTTTGATATCAGTGGAAGTGGTATCATGCCACACTGTCCCATCACAAATGAGTCTACAGAATTAAGACTATTTTCAACTATACTTTCATGAACCAATAATGAACCTGATTGTTACCCAGAACAACATGTACTACCAGTACACAATGGACTACACAAATGTTTCAGAATTGTCATGGCTGTGCAGGTGGAAAGATACAACTGTGGCTGAAATGTATTTATTCCTTGGCACAATCATGCTTATGCCACACACCTATAAGAACAATATAGCACACTACTGGTCCACAGACCACTTCATCAGTACTCCTCCCCTGCAACAGATTCTCTCTGTTGCTACAAATGTTGCACTTCTCAGACAGGAATACTCCAAACCAAAATGACCCCCTATACAAAATCAGGGAATTGTTTATGTATCTTAAGCAAAAATTCAGTGCCTACTTTTACCCATTCAAGAATATTGTTGTTGACGAGTCCTTGATTCTTTTCAAGAGACAATTGTCATTCAAACAATATATACCAAGCAAACATAATCGCTTTGGCATAAAGCACTTTGTAATGTGTGACTGTGAGACTGGTCTTGTGTTGGATGTCATTATCTACACAGGGAAAAACACACTCGACAATACCAGGTGCATTTTGGGCATTTCTGGTGATGTTCGCAAGATGATGCAGCCATACCTTGGCAAGGGCCATACATTGTTCACAGGCAACTGGTATACAAGCCCTACGCTTGCTGATTTCCTACATGTGAACAATAGTGATATATGTGGAACAGTGAGAAAAAGTAGAAAACACATGTCATGTCCCGTTCGTCATGCCACTGATGTGGCATGACAAACAGACAGACTGAGCAAGTACAACAATGAACCTGTTGTAAAGCCAACTGCTGTCATCGACTATACGAACAATATGCGACTAGTCGACAAGTGTGACATGATGATAGGGTTTGTTGACTGTGTGCGTAGGAGTTGCAAGTGGTATATAAAAGTACTTTTCCATCTTGTAGACATTGCAATGCTCAATGCCTTCAACATGTATGAAATAAAGACAGGGAAGCGACAACGATATGTGGAATTCACCCTCAATGCTATTAAGCAGATAGTGAAAAAGTATGGTACCACACCTGTACCTGTCACTCCACAGCGACCTGTCACCCCACAACAGTGACCTGTCACTCCACAAGAAGAGGGGGAAGTGCCCAACTGAATAATCCCTAACTGTCACTGCCTGATACCATTACCATCTACTCCAAAGAAGAAGTACTCTCAGAAAAAGCGTGTTGTGTGTGCTTACACTACACAGCGACCCCAAATGCAAAAAGACACACAATACATGTGTCAGCAATGTGGGGTGACACTCTGTATAAATCCATGCTTCTTGGAGTATCATACAGTGGTGGACTTTTAGAAACATAAATAGGACCTATAAATACATTGTATATATATGTAAACAATAGTATGTGATTGAACCAGGTGTACAAATTCATCTATCAGTGTGAATATGTGTGTTTGTGAGTGTGATTGCTAATTCAGTACCAAATATTTGTGTCTCAACAAGAATTGGCTATGAAATCAAAAGATCTGCAACAAAACATTATTATCATGACATGAAAACAACAAAAAATAGAAAAGAATTGGGAAAGAATGATAAATGTTTACTGTTTCTGCTAGCAGCAGTGCTCCATGTTACCAACACCTCATCATTTAGCAAGAACTTTGGGGGCTCTTATCTCAGTAAGTACTTGGCCCTAAATTTTTTGTTTGTCCTACAACATTTCTAAAAAATGTGCTCTTCATTTAAAAACAAAAAAAAATTTTTTTTTATTTTTCAAAATAATCGGAGCGCTGCGCAAGTGAACGTAGATCTACGTTTGGACAGTTTAAGAGTTATGCACAACACACGTCGCTGAGTCAAAAAGACCCCGCACCTGCACTTGCACAACAGGGTCGGTACTGCATCAGCGACAGTGCTCTCTCTACCTAGCGTACAGCGTCTTATCTCGGACATGTGCACATGCGCAACAATCAAACACCAAGTTGCTGGAACTGTGAAGCGCACAGTTCCAAACAAGGATTTTTGTAATTTTTTCATGTACTAGGGGATGGGTACTGACATTAAGTTTAAGGAATATATAACACAAGTTTTTCTTTTTCAGGCCACCCTGCCTTGGTGGGAAATGGCTGTGTTAATAAAAAAAAAATAATGTACAAATATAAAGAAAGAATTAAAGAAAAAAAGAGACTCATTATATTGAATGATATCGATAATACTGCGTGAAAACAGGGGGTGCTGCAGTTCTGCAGTGCCTATACACAAGCCACCACTGGGTCAGACTAAGCTAAGATATGAAGACATGAATTCAAATTAAGGGTAAATTTGAACACCCAAATTTTGTGAGATTTGAAGATAGTAGGGTGCCAGGTATTGATTGACTTACACCACAACTCCCCTAAAATAAAAATTAACTTCATATATTAAAGCTTATATTCATAATGTAAGCATAATTTCTTCTGATAAAATCACTAATTGCAAATCCAGTAACAAACACAGCAAACCTCAGTACTTACCTCATCAAAGTCAGCAATAATTTCATTGAGGAGTCTAAGGCACTCAGTGCCTTGGTTATTTACAGCTAACTCCATGTAAAATTCATGAAAGTTTGGTATGGAGGCGAACACCACACCTACACGACTATAACTTTGATGATATAAATCCTGCACAAGGAAACAATTGTTAATAAACATGCCAATAACAAAACTAAATACAATAATAGTTACATTTATAAGGTGTGCTATCATTTACATCCCAATAATAAAAATGGACCATATGAGTAAGGTGACATTTATGACAGAATTCAGGGAAACTGATTAGCCAAATTTCAATTGTGAGAGTGGAAAGTAGAGTGCTGACATTCTGTAAGATGGGAGGAGATACTGTAATCTGGAGTGCCATTTGAATTACTGAATTATCAAAAAACGTAAGAGCCTAAGAATGGAAGAGCATTGCAGCAGACCTACTGACCCAAACTAGGCAAGTCTTTCTCAAAACCAACTGCTCCCACCCACCTATCTGTCTAACCTATAAGACCATAAGAATAAACCTGTAACATAAGAATGTTCATGCATTCTGGCAAGACAGCTATTTTACGAGTAATAGATCACCCAACCTTGGTGGGAAGTGGTCAATATGGTTAAAAAATGGAAACATTATACAGTGGACCCCCGCCCAACAAAGGCATTGTCTAACGAAAAATTTGACTAACAAAGTGTTTGAGCATAAAAATTTTGGCCCGACCAATGATGAAAAACTCTGCCAACATCATTCGTCCCAAATGTGTCCACGTGTCCCATCTGGCTCAAGGGCACCTTAGCTGCCCTGCCTTCAGTTAGTGTGCCAGTGTTTACATGCCAGTGCAGTCACTTCCACACATACATTCAGTATATTTTGTATTATTCCAGTGTTTTTAGTGCTTGTAACTGCTAAATAAGCCACCATGGGGCCAAAGAAAGCTTCTAGTGCCAACCCTGTGGCAAAAAGGGTGAGAATTACAATTGAAATGAAGAAGGAGAAAATTAATAAGTATGAAAGTGGAGTGCGTGTCTCCAAGCTGGCCAGATTGTATAACAAAACCAAATCAACCATCAGAAAGGCAATCAAGGAAGCTGGTATTGTGAAAGGTGCAAGTATGTTTTCAAAACACAGATCGCAAGTACTCGAAGATGTTGAGAGACTGTTGTTGTTGTGGATAAACGAAAAACAGATTTCAGGAGATAGTATCTCTCAATCCATCATATGTGAAAAGGCAAGGCAGTTGCATGACAATTTAATTAAAAAAAGGCCTGCAACTAGTGGTGATGTGAGTGAATTTAAGGCCAGCAAAGGTTGGTTTGAGAGATTTAAGAGGCATACACAATGTGATAAGGCATGGTGAGGCTGCCAGTTCTGACCAAAAAGCAGTTGAATTTTTTTTTTTTTTTAACAACCGGCCATATCCCACCAAGGCAGGGTGGTCCAAAAAGAAAAACAAAAGTTTTTCTTTTTAAATTTAGTAATTTGTACAGGAGAAGGGGTTACTAGCCCCTTGCCCCCAGCATTTTAGACGCCTCTTACAACATGCATGGCTTACGGAGGAAGAATTCTGTTCCACTTCCCCATGGAAATAAGAGGAAATAAACAAGAACAAGCACTAGAAAGAAAATAGAACACCCAGAGGGGTGTGTATATATACATATATGCTTGTATACATGTATGTGTAGTGTGACCTAAGTGTAAGAAGAAGTAGCAAGATGTACCTGAAATCTTGCATGTTTATAAGACAGAAAAAAGACCCAGCAATCCAATCATCATGTAAAACAATTACAGGAAGCTGAAAAATATGTGCAGGAATTCCAGGGGTACATAGAGGCTGAAGGATTCAAACCCCAACAAGTGTTTAATTGTGATGAAGCAGGTCTGTTTTGGAAGAAAATGCCAAACATGACCTACATTATGAAGGAGGAAAAAGCACTGCCAGGACACAAGCCTATGAAGGACAGGCTAACTTCAATGTTGTGTAGTAATGATAGTGGGGATTGCAAAGTGAAGCCTCTACTTCTGTATCACTCTGAAACTCCCAGAGTGCTCAGGAAAAGCAATGTCATCAAGGCTAATTTGTGTGTGATGTGGAGGGCAAACAGTAAGGTATGGGTCACTAAGGACATTTTCTATGACTGTTTTTATCATGTGTTTGGCACTACTGTGAAAAATTACCTCCTGGAAAATAAATTGGACCTTAAGTGCCTCTTGGTATTAGACAATGCTCCTGGTCATTCTTCAGACTTGCCAGAGCAAATTTTGGGTGAGTTGAGTTTCATAAAAGTGAAGTTTTTGCCTCCTAATACCACTCCTCTCCTCCAGCCCATGGACCAGCAGGTCATTTCAAATTTCAAAAAAGCTGTATACCAAAGCAGTGTTTCAAAAGTGAAGTGACCTCAGACACTCGACTGACCCTAAGAGACTTTTGGAAAGATCACTTTAGTATCCTCAAATGCATAAACCTTATAGGTAAGGCTTGGGAGGGAGTGATTACTAGGACCTTGAACTCTGCTTGGAGTAAATTGTGGCCAAAATGTGTACTAGAGATTTTGAAGGGTTTGGGGCTAACCCTGAGAAGTCTATGTCAGTTGTGGAATCTACTGTGGCATTGGGGAAGTCCTTGGGGTTGGAGGTTAGTGTGGAGGATGTGGAAGAGTTGGTGTAGGACGACAATGATGAACTAACCACTGATGAGTTGCAAGAGCATCTGCAACAGCAAGAGGCCACAACTGAGAAAACTGCTTCAGAGGAGGGGAGAGAGAAATTGATGAAGTTGCCTTCTTCAACAATTAAGGAAATTTGTACAATGTGGACAAATGTGCAAACCTTTATGGAGGAAAATCACCCTGACACAGCTATTGCAAGCCGTGCTGGTGACTTTTACAATGACAGTGTTGTGACCCACTTGAGGAAAATCTTAAAGGAATACGAGGTACAGAGCTCTATGGACAGATTTTTGGTGCAACAGAGGTCCAGTGACTCTCAAGTTGTTCCCAGTGGCATTAAAAAATAAAGAAGGGAAGTAACCCCGGAAAAAAACTTGCTACCTAAAGTCCTTATAGAAGAGGATTCCCCTTCCAAAAATTAATACACGTCCATCTCCCCTCCTCCCATCTCATCACTCATCACTACATCTTCAATAAAGGTAAGTGTCATTTATTCTTCATTTAGTACAGTACATTATTTATTGTGCATGTATCCTTCTTTTTCTGTGTAGGAAAATGTATATTTCATGTGCAAAATATTTTTTTTTTTTCATATTTTTGGGTGTCTGGAACCGATTAATTGAATTTCCATTATTTCTTATGGGGAAAATTAATTCGACTAACGATGAATTCGACTAATGACAAGCTCTCTGGAACGGATTAATATCGTTGGCAGAGAGTCAACTGTACTATTATTATTATTACATTTATAGGTAGTAGGTTGGTAGACAGCAACCACCCAGGGAAGTACTACCGTCCTGCCAGATGACTGAGAAACAGAAACCTGTAACTGTTTTGCATGATGGTAGGATTGCTGGTTTCTTTTTCTGTCTCATAAACACACTAGATAACAGGGATTTCTTGCTACTCCTACTTACACTGTGGTCACACTTCACAGACACGCACATGCATATATATATACATACATCTAGGTTTTCTCTATTTTCTAAATAGCTCTTGTTCTTCATTATTTCTTCTACTGTCCAAGGGGAAGTGGAAAAGAATCTTTCCTCCTTAAGCCATGCATATCATATGAGGCGACTAAAATGCCGGGAGCGATGGGCTAGTAACCCCTTCTCCTGTAGACATTTACTAAAAAAGAGAAGAAGAAAAACTTTATAAAACTAGGATGCTTGAATGTGCATGGATGTAGTGCAGATGACAAGAAACAGATGATTGCTGATGTTATGAATGAAAAGAAGTTGGATGTCCTGGCCCTAAGCGAAACAAAGCTGAAGGGGGTAGGGGAGTTTCGGTGGGGGGAAATAAATGGGATGAAATCTGGAGTATCTGAGAGAGTTAGAGCTAAGGAAGGGGTAGCAGTAATGTTGAAGGATCAGTTATGGAACGAGAAAAGAGAATATGAATGTGTCAGTTCAAGGATTATGTGGATTAAAGTAAAGGTTGGATGCGAAAAGTGGGTCATAATAAGCATGTATGCACCTGGAGAAGAGAGGAATGTAGAGGAGAGAGAGAGAGATTTTGGGAGATGTTAAGTGAATGTATAGGAACCTTTGAACCAAGTGAGAGAGTAATTGTGGTAGGGGCCCTGAATGCTAAAGTAGGAGAAACTTTTAGAGAGGGTGTGGTAGGTAAGTTTAGGGTGCCAGGTGTAAATGATAATGGGAGCCCTTTGAGTGAACTTTGTATAGAAAGGGGTTTAGTTATAAGTAATACATATTTTAAGAAAAAGAGGATAAATAAGTATACAAGATATGATGTAGGGCAAAATGACAGTAGTTTGTTGGATTATGTATTGGTAGATAAAAGACTGTTCAGTAGACTTCAGGATGTACATGTTTATAGAGGGGCCACAGATACATCAGATCACTTTTTAGTTGTAGCTACACAGAGTAAAAGATAGATGGGATACAAGGAGAATAGAAGCATCAGGGAAGAGAGAGGTGAAGGTTTATAAACTAAAAGAGGAGGCAGTTAGGGAAAGATATAAACAGCTATTGGAGGATAGATGGGCTAATGAGAGCATAGGCAATGGGGTCGAAGAGGTATGGGGTAGGTTTAAAAATGTAGTGTTAGAGTGTTCAGCAGAAGTTTGTGGTTACAGGAAAGTGGGTGCAGGGAGGGAAGAGGAGCGATTGGTGGAATGATGATGTAAAGAGAGTAGTAAGGGAGAAAAAGTTAGCAAATGAGAAGTTTTTACAAAGTAGAAGTGATGCAAGGAGGGAAGAGTATATGGAGAAAAAGAGAGAGGTTAAGAGAGTGGTGAAGCAATGTAAAAAGAGAGCAAATGAGAGAGTGGGTGAGATGTTATCAACAAATTTTGCTGAAAATAAGAAAAAGTTTTGGAGTGAGATTAACAAGTTAAGGAAGCCTATAGAACAAATGGATTTGTCAGTTAAAAATAGGAGAGGAGAGTAATTAAATGGAGAGTTAGAGGTGAAAGTAAAGACACATGTGCAACATCTGGAAGTCTT